CTTGTCCAGGTTTTTGGCCAAATACCTGCAAAACTCAGGACATTCAGCATTAGTGCTACAGAGCAAATGTTAGTATGTTAAACAAAGATGGTGAACATGGTAAACTCATACCTGCTAAACATTAGCATGTAAGCACTGTCACTATGAGCATGAAGCCTGTGTTGAAAACCATTTTTAAACTGCTGTCTGTTAAACTGGCGAAACAACGTCAGCCTTACTAGGTCAGACCTGGTAAGATTCCCATATTATTGTCAACACAGCACAAGTCTGAACTGCATGCTGTCATAACTACCGATAGTCATGCACAAGCGACATACTTTGAGTTGTGTAAACCAATTTGGGGAAGGTTCTCACACATGTCAGCACTAATATTACTCTAAAAACTTTACTTGTTTATTTATAATTCTAAATTATCCCGGGATTATTCAGGATCTAACAGCAAATCGCACAGAATACTTTTGTTAATGTGAAACTGGTGAGCAGTCTGACACGGAATCAGTCTATAAGCTGCAGTTAAATAATTTATTACATAGTGGATTTAGGTTTGGTCTTTTGTTTAGTGTAATATTCTGCATTATACATGATGATGTCTTGATAAAAGTCATCGTGAGCAACATTAATGTAAAAGTGACCTGAATGTCTGAATGACTCACTTTAATAGATTGATGAAGTGCTACGTATTCTCTGTCTGAAAAGGGTTTAAATGTGGTTCTTATTCCTGATTTGTCTTCGTTTATATAACATAGATTTGAAAAGGAGTTGTAGTTTTCCATTACATTTCCTTCTGTTGCCCAAACATTAGTTTAGACTTGATTTAGTTTACTAAAAATGTCCAAAACCTTCAGTGAAACGTCATCATCTGGTGACTATAGCATTCCTCCTCCCGAGACAAGCAATGCTGAAATAACTGGTCCTCTGGGAGAGCCCAAGAGTGTCCAAGCAACACAGGGACAAAACAAACTGCGTAACATATAGGATGAGAACAGACCACCTTCAGTGGAGCAAGCTGTCTAATTCACCTGAAAATACCCCATGTTCATAATCCCCGCTGTAGTAAAATATCTATCCTCATATCGCTGCACATTTCAATTCCCTCAGATGATTTATAACCACTATAAGATATTTGATATCACCACTCAGTCCTGATATCTATGGGATGACAGAGGCCTGTGGCAAAATAGATAGAGCTCAGCAGCCTATGAATCAAATCTAACTTGTCTGGGTATATTAGGCGATGGCTGCTGATAGCCAGTCGTAATGAAAAGACCCAGCAGCACAGCCTCAAAGCACAATGTCTACATGTACATATTGGAGATAAGTGACCGTGTCACATATCTCTATCATCAACACATTCTGTAATGCTCCTCAGCGTGAGTGCAAAGAGAGTTGTCTCCGTGCAGTGGGTTTAGGGGAGTCTAGACAGAATCCCTTAAAGCTTGTGGTGATGAACACAATCAATACACATCTATTAAGGCCTGACTTTCCATGTTTAACTCTGTGCTCAGTCTGATCATCGTGTTCCTGCAAGACTGGTGTTATCAGAATAACAGCTCTGGTAGAACTTAGATTGATGTGTTAAAAAATAATAAAATAATACAGATATAACTATTCATTAACTGTGTTTCATTAGATTATTATTCTTCCACATTGGTAGATTCAGCACGTTTGCCAAAAGGACATTTTTCTTGCTAACAAAACCTGACCTTGCAGCTGGACAATGGTTGCATGTCTAGTTAACAAACTGTGGTATTTTTACTTGTTGTTATTGGGATTCAGGGCACTGCCAAACCTTTGCAAACAGAATACAGACGCTGAATAGAATTTTAACAACAAACCTGATGGCAATACCAATCGCAAGGCACTGGAGTGTTAATGTGCAGCAAAGTCAATTTCTGCAAATGTTCCATTGGATAGACTCTCTTCAGTAGTCAATAAATTCATTATTCAAATTATGCTTTTTTCTAAATTAGTGTAAACAAGCCATTAACCTTCCTGCACTCTTGAAATAAAGCTTAGCGAAATCTTTTTTCCTCTTTCATCAATTAAACAAAACGCAATACAGCAAGCTGCGCTGCACTTTACGGCATAATTAATGTGTAACAGAGTTGTTAAGTTTGTCAAATGGCTCTGTTGAAGTACGTCTTGCTTCAAGGCTAGTTAGTGAGTCACCTCAGGAGGAACATATAAACATGCTAGAAACACGTCAACCTGCCCGTGACCTCCCGTTCTTTGGCAAAGCAGAGCGTCCTCCGAGAAGTCGTCACTCAGACGTCACGATAGCATCAAGGTGGCCAAACAGCAAGTCGCTCGAGGAAAATTGAACCATGGAAGTCAGATGTACCTTCACTATATCACTATATGAAGGCAGCAAGCAGTAACTACTGGCTCTGAAACACAGGAAAATGGTTCAAACTGGTGGCAAATTATGGCACTTATTAATATTTAGGCGGATTAAGAACTTAAAAAAAAACTCCATAAGGCCCAAAAACATCTATATATTCACCTTTCTGGACATTTGAACTATTTTGTGTCAAGAAAATAACCTCATTTTGATTACTTACGGTCTACAGTTAATCTACAATATATGTATCTGTCTACTATCAATATCTGTTGTATACTATAAGTACCAGTTAACACATGTAAATATGCTTCTAAGATAGAAACTGTTAGTAGGAGTTTATAACATATAACCTGCTACAACTTTTTAAATTTATCGCCAAAGATAATTGCCAGCAGATAATGTGCTCTGCTGTGTAATTTTTTATAAATATAATTGATAAATGCCATATTTCCCAACAAAATGAGGTCGCTTGTCCACAAAAGTAAACTTCAATTGGATGATTCCTTGGTCCATAGTGAATAAAATGTGAATTCGGAGATGTCTTTCCCTCTGCTCTTAATATTTAGATTGCAAACTTATTTGATAAAATGTGTTCATAATAAATAAATTCAACATTTCACTGTTTAAATATGTGACATAAAGGTAATGTAGAAGTCATGTAGCTTTTGAGCTTACAAGCTAAGCTAAATTTAGCTTCTGTCTCTTACAGTTATGTGGAATAACAAATTATCTAATTTATGTTTAATTAAATTGGATATTTTCTAATTGCCAATTTAAACTGGGGAGTTCCATTAGCTTAGAGATTAGCTTTAGCTTTAAGCAGGGGCCTAGCTGTGGCTATCTCCGATGCTAAGATAGCTTTCCTTTGGTGATTCAGCATGCTATTTTGACAAAAAATATATACATTTTGTGGCATATTTTTATTTTTATAAAGTCAAATTGATGCCAAAAAGACAAATTCATGTTCTTAACTCATTTTTGACGACATATATCAGTTAGTTACTGTATTTTAGCCTTGTATGGCAGAATAACAGAGTTTAAACTCCTTTTAAAGTGTGCAATCTTTGTCTGGATGCATATCAGCTCCACTCTTATGTGAACTCATAATAGGTTTGGGCAATTGTTAAAGTGCATTAAGTGCATTAGGAGTTGAGTTTACTTCTCAGGCACTAGGAAGAGCCTCGTACATATGGCCAAATTCACACCGCTGTTTCACTATTACAGCAAATAATCGCATAATCAGAGCGTGCAGCTGAAGACTTATCTTTTTCCCCCGTCTGGCTTTCATGTGCTCTCAGACATGCAGGACATAAACACCCACACACAGCACGCTCCATCTCCTTCCCACGCAACATGCTGCACTACACGCATGCCCATGTGTGTGTGTGTTTTCTTTATTATCACCATCATTAACGTTATTATGATGATTATTAAATGTACAGAGAGGTAGCTGCATCACGCTGGCACACTTTGATCTAAAGCTTTACCAGTGACATGCATAATCCGCAGTGGGACTCATTAAAAACAATAACCATCCTCTAACTCTGAGCAACACTCTGACAATGGAGACCTCTTCCACTCACACAGGAAAACGGACTGAGAATTCAATGAGAGAAATGCACTCTGGGAATAGGCACTGACTCATTCACAAGTGTTTTTAAGCATAAAATAGTCCATTTGCAGGGAGATAGAAGACATGAAGGAAACTTCTGGGTTTTGTATCTCTAGCAGCCTGCAAGAGCAGCGATTACATGTGAGTATATTAGATAATAAGAAAATTGCACATTCATTATAAAAGAACGGACATCCTAATGTTCTAAATATACAGCCGGTGATGCAGCTCGGCGTCTCTATGAATCATCACAGAGCTCGGAGTGCCAGACCTATACGTGGTTAAAGTTTCTGCTGTCATGTGTTCTGACTGCTGATCCGGGACCAGCGAGTGTGTGAGTGCAGGTTGGAAGTGAAGCACATTTCTGCTTTCAACTCACACGCCACCCAAGCAGTAAAACGAATCCCTTTAATCTCTCTCTCCGCCTCAACAAAAGGACACAATTATCACGATGGCTGCCCTGATATATCATACTTTTTTTTTTTTCTTTGGACGTCTGCCACTCTCTTTCACGGAGTAGTGTCTGAGGCAGGGGCTGGAAGAACAAATCAAGGGTAATGAAAATACAACCCAAGCCAAGTCTGGATATGAAACAAGGGTGCTGTATGAACGATGCCCTTTTCCTGAGGAGGCATAGGATGGCATTAAATATTTAACTGGATTTAAAATTGCATGCTCCCTGAGGGGATATGTGAGTAATTTTTATGAGCACATGAAATTTAATGCATTGTTATAGCTGTCTGAGGAGGAGGAGGAGGGAACAAAAGGTGCATTTTCTGATCATTTCAAGTAAGAAGTCTCCCAGGAAACATTTTTTTTTTCTCCATTAGGCCTGAGAGATTATGTAACTTTTCCTGATGAGATTTCACCCAAGCTACCAAATGCATGCATGCAAGTTTGAAATGCAAATGCAATTAAATGCAGGTTCAATTGGGGATTTTGTGAACTTTTGCAAAGAGAGCAAATGTTTGAGAGACAGTAAAGAGGATTTAAAACGAGAGACTTGAATGGGAATCAGAAAATAGAAATGGCATTATATTTGCTTACCGAATTTTCTGTCGGCGAGGGCAGGTGAGGAGCAGAGGCTGACAGCCAATGCAGCGACGAGGAGGACGGGACAGCACCGTGGATCCATACCGCTGCTGCCTTACAGGCGACGCTCATCCATCGCACCTCCGCTAAAACAGCATGTTTTAAGGCCGGACTCTGGCGTCGGCTTGCTCGGACTCGGGCTACTGGAGATGCATGGTGCAGGAAGGATGAATGTTTTAAAAAGGAAAAGGGAAAAAATTAAATGAAATTAAAATAAAAACTGGAGGAAAAACAGGAGCAGGATTCGCTAAAACGGCAACACAATACAGGCGTTGTTTCAGCACCACAAACAGCTACCAGCTTCACGGAGGAGCCCCTCCTAAGTTTCTGACGTCAAACACACACATGGTGAGCGCGGATGATGCGGGCAGCATGCAACAGAGGAGACGGACGGAGCGCAGGAGCCGGAGATGCCTGAGAGCCGTGAAGGCAACACGAGGAACATCAAAGCAACACTCACACTGAATGTCAAGAGTTATTTCACTTCCTACTTGATTTTTTTATTTTTAGAGCACAGGTGATGATAAGCCACCACCTTGCAATAAGCTACATAAATGAAGGAGCTCTACATATGTAACCACAATGATCAAAAAGAAGCAAGTATTTGGGGTGTTTTTACTGCAGATATTTGTATGTTGTGACAGTTTTTAGCGTATTTTGTTGTTAATATTATAGTATGCAAACCAAAATTTAAAATAAATAAATAAATACAACCTTCTTACTTATACCTGTTTCTCTTTACAGTAACCCAAATTTAAAACAGCTGTAGTCCAGTGCCTGTACAGCAGAGGTCTTGTTAGGATCTTTAACACAGTCCAGGAATCATTAGATGGCTGGAAAGCAAATGTACTGAATATCTAGCAAAAGAAATCACAAGTATTTTAGTTTGTACTTGTTTTTTGTCTTTTTTTTTTTTTTTTTAGAGCACAGGTGATGACAAGCAACAACCTTGCTTATAGGCTACACACACACACACACAAAAAATAAAGTAGCTCTCTTAAAACAGGTCTATATATTAACATAATTCAATTTTACTCAACAAATATAACCACTATGGTTAGGATCTTAGACCAGTCCAGGAATCTTTAGTTGGCTGGAAAACAAATGCATTGAATGTCAAGCAAAAGAAATTATAGTTATTTTAGTTTTTTTTTTTGTTTTTTTTAAGAGCACAGGTGATGACAAGCCACAACCTTGAAATAAGCTACATAAAGAAAACAAAAAAGGTCCAGTAGCTCACATATTTGCACTAAAAATTGAACACAGTTGATTTTGTTCAACAAATATGACCATGCACGATACAAAAAGCTATCTTACATATTGCAGTTTTTACCAGATTCCCCCACTTGTAGATGTATCATCTTGCAAGTCTCAGCTTCCCTGTATGTGACGATGTTATTATAGCTTTCTTCCTCGTCTCGTCTACTTTTCTTTTTTTCTTCTGCTTCCTGCTTGAGCATTAATAAATACACGTTCATTATCCTGGCTTTTGTTTGTGCTTTTGTGTCAGAAGATGGTACCGTAGGATTATTACAGAAACATCTCTTCTGCCTTTAGAATTTCTGCACAGAGCAGAAAGGAAGCGCTGACTGATTTCTAAGGAAAAAATAATAAATAACAACAAAAAGCTATTGAGACCCAGTTCTATTCATGAAATATTCGGGGCTGCAGCCTTGGACGCCACTGCTGTACAGAAAGCTTCGTCTGAATCTCATCTTGTGTGTTGACAACAGGATGAGGTTGTAAAACAAAAATACCAATGTCTCACTTTTTATGAAAATAACAAAAAAAAAACCCACATATATAGCAACACTGGAGCTTTTTCTCCAGCAAGGACAGACATATAGAGACCAAAATGATGTTCTGATTCAGTGCTAAGCTTTCCTTTATATTTTGATGGCTACATGTCACCAGACAGTCTCATACATTCAGTCAACATTTCTCTGCTTAGTTGTCAATGCTTGTGCTACAATAGAGCTAAAAGCACGAACCAGGAGGCTGTTTTTGTGACACGAAAACATTAAAAAGTTGTAGCAATAAAACATATTTTTGGCATGATGGTACAAAGTTTTAAAAGGGGCTTCTGTTACTGTAAACATCCATCTCATCAGAGTTCATCAGTTAAATAGCAAAATAGAAGTACTTGTGATACAAAACATTAGAGGATTACATTATAGACATGGATGTAAGCCGGGATTTAAATACTGTTGGGTAGTTTGACAGGGGACCATAGTTTAGAACCTGATCATGTTTTGTGTGTAAAATCTTCTATCTGTCAAATAAAATGTCAAATAAAAGTGCATTCTGTAAATTGATTAAAGGTTTTATATGCTGGAATGAAAATGAAAATGGAAAAAACTTTTAAAAAAGCAAACATTTTGGCCATCTGGCTACAAAGGGGGATGCAAGGTGGGTCAGTGGTTACCTCGCAGCAAGAGGGTTGCCGGTTCACATCCCGGTGAGGACACCCGGGATCTTTCTGTGTGGAGTTTGCATGTTCTCCCCGTGCAGCGTGGGTTCTCTCCAGGTTCTCTGGCTTCCTCCCACACAGTCCAAAAACATGTTGAGGTTAATTGGTGATTCTAAATTGTCCGTAGGTGTGACTGTGAGTGTGCTTGGTTGTCTGTCTCTAAGTGTAGCCCTGTGATAGACTGGTGACCTGTCCAGGGTGTCCCCTGCCTTCACCCTGAGTCAGCTGGGATAGGCTCCAGCCCCCCATGACCCAAGTGAGGATTAAGTGGTGTATAGATAATGGATGGATGGATACAAAGGGACAATGAAGAATAATTAACATGATGGACAGTGAATACTGTAACCATTGAACTAATATCAACTTACACAGTCACAAATATTTAAGAAAAATAGAACGTACATTCTGAAAATGGGAGCTTTTTTCCTTTAAGAATGGAGAGAAGAGAATGATTCATCACTTGTTTGTACTTTGTTATTATTTTTGCAATATTCCTAGTCCAGGGAGGAAAACATCTGAGGAGGAAGTAAACGTCAAGTTTAGGTTGATTGATGCAGTTCATTTTATTCTGATTTGTACCAAAATACAAACTGACAGTTCAACAGACATATAAACACAGACCCTGAAGCATGAAAAAATATACGTATATATAGGAAAAGGTTTAAAGAAGTGACAGCTGCAGAGACTGAACGTTTAAAAGAATAATAACGAGAGACAAGATTTGACTAATGTGTGCCGTCGGGAAATAAATAAACGTGGAGCCAGTTTGGAAAAACGTGGTAACAGACAGGCGCTGTGCTTTGGGTTTTAATCCAAACCATATTCTTTCTAAATCCTGGTCAGGGAAGCTGAAATATTCACTGTGTCCTGTGTGTCTGCAACGCAAAGCAGATATTGTACTCTCCTCTGCTTCACATGATACAAATGTAAAGTAGGAATTACATCATTTCAGAAAATACATCACATAGTCTTTCTTTTTTTTTTTTTAGAGAAGGAAACTCAGATTTGCAGAATCCCATTCAAAGCCATCACAGACGAGTCATAAATAACCCTGTGGCAGAAAAGGAATATACAGTTAGTCATCACAGCTCAGAAAAATCAATCATCTACATGTAAACGAAGCAAAACCAAGTAAACCGTGTGATTTCCCTCCACTTACCTCTGGATCTCTGTGCTGCTGTCTAAAGAAGCGACTGCATGTGTGTGAAGCCGCTGCTGGACGGACACGGCCACGCTCTTCAAGCCCGCTTTAGACTTTCCCGCTAATGAATAATGCATTTGATGCAACGTTATCATCAGAAAAACAATTATTCGCTTTGACTCTTCAAATTTGTCAAAACTCACAGTGTTTGATGACCGCCAACACGCGCAGGACTGCAGCCAGTTCCACGAGACTGCTGATGGCCTCCGAGTCCAAAGATGAGCCGACCTCTGCCAAAAACGACCTAAAAAGAAGCAACAAATCGTTCTTTAATATTCATTAAATTTAAATAATTGCAGGGCTTTTGTGCAAGTTAAGGAAAAGGGAGGATTGACCTGGTAATAGAGGGCGATTTGAGGATGACGGACAGCAGAACGCAGGACAAAGGAGGCATGTCCTCCACTGACTCTGGGGTGATCACCTCCTCAGGATGGGTAATCTTTAAAAATACGAGCACAGCAGCTGATTAGACACATTAATATTACGACCTGTCATTAAGGTCCTCGCGTAGGTCATTCCTATAACTACATTGCTTCAGAATAGAATCCTAAATCAGTTTCAGGAAATGCAGTGTATCTGTTAACAATAACCCAGATGCAGTCTTTTCATTGGTGCCAGGTCATACCTTCTGTAGTGAATGTCTGTTCTCCACGATGATGATGGCAAACAGTGTGGAGAAGACCCCGCTGAGAGGTGCTCTGTCCCAGATTTGTGCCACTTGGAGGAAATCTGTCAGACCGCGAATGGCTGACTGACACAGCTAAATGAGGGAAGAACGAGGGAGAGACTCGGCGGTGAGCTTTAAAGAGCAACTGAACACTCCTGAGAAAATATTTTCAATTTGACACGTTTATAATTTATGACTGTTGCAACAAAACCAAACCTGGTTCTGTTTGATATCAGCCAGGCTCAGTCCAGAAAGCGAAGAATAAATCGATCAACAAAAACACAGATGAACAATGTTGATGCACCTGTTTTCCTTCCTCTGGTTCCTTCCTAAGGCGGCGAGCCAGGAGCTCTATAATCTTCTGGAAAATGTTGGCCACCACACCCAAAATGACAGTGGCTGCATCCTCCTGATTCTCCTGATCCTTGTTGTTGTCCTCAGGCACATAGCTGTTTGCCACCTCCTTCAAAATTGGCAGCACTGCAGGAATACACAGGTAGCCCGCCTCTGAAAACACAAAAGGAAAACAACTTTTTGTAAAGGGTCTAACTCCGGTAAAGCAGCATGAGGCCTCGGGACAATTTTGAGTGCAATAAAGTTGAGCTTCTGTTAAAAAATTAGGTCCTTTTTTGACTTTTTTTTGCTGCATTCTCCCTCTAAAATAAAACTAGATATTTAAAGCACTCACCAGAGAGGAGGATGAGT